GGAACACCCGCGTTGACGTTGTGGGAGAACCCGTCAATTACGACGGATATCTTACGGCCAGAGAAAAAGTCAGCCGCCCATCTGCAAAGCTTATCTGGGAGGCCATAGGATGGAAGTTTGCATAAGAGGGCAGCTGCGGCGTGCTACGGCTGATCGAACGCTTTCGTGAAATCAAGAGCAACGACATGAGCATCACCATAAGACTGGATGAGTTTATCCACAGTTGCGTGACGTAAGCTAGAATGTCCCATGTGGATCCCTGGTGCCGGAAACGATACTGCCTGTCGCTAATCAAGACGTGACGTTCGAGGTAGGCCAGAAGCTCGCCATTCATGCACCTTTCCATCACCTTCTGTCTTAGCATATGATATGATATGAGCAAAATTACAGTTTTCTGGGAATGTACCGGATTCGTAAGATATCTTTAAGAAACGCGAAAGAACTGGAGCAAGCTCCGCTTCACGCCTCTTCAGTACAATGGCAGAAGTCAAATCCGTACCAGAAGCTTTGTTGATGTCAAGCGACAAGAGCACCCGTCTGACAGTCCTATGCCTTAATATTACTTTCAGCATAGTGTAGGGAACCCTTTGAATTGACGGCACTTGAGCGTTGGGGGGGGGGGGGGGATGTCCATGGTGGAGTTGGCAGCAAAGATATTGGCAAGCACTTCCGATTTAGCCTTTAAGTCGGTTAAAATCATTCCATCCTGACACGTAAGTGGTGGAAGGCTACTTACTCTGTAAGTTCCTTTCAATCTGCTTGGCCAGCATCTAGAAAGACCGACTGCCATTGCGCTGCGACATTACACTGACCTTAACTTTCATATCATGTGCTGTGTTTGGCTTTGCGAACCGCTTCGTTATATTATTTTCTGGACTCGACGTAGGCTTGTCTGTTCTCTACAGCGGGGTTTTGTAATGTTTTTTTTTGCAGGCGAGCAGTGTTACACTATTTGTTGAACCAGCCGCTGGATTCTGGTTTAGGCACTTCCACTGTATGGAGGATGTATCCCTCCATACCGATGTGGATAAATTTAGGTTATCGAAGAACAGATAGCCGACGCATCCGCGTCAGCGAAACAAACACCTCTCCAAGGAAAGGTAGAGAAGAAGTCTCCGTAATGCCAAATTTTGCGGCCTAGGCCAGTTTCTGCTGCCACAGCGGATTCTAGCAGACACCTAACCTCCTCAACACCGTAGTCTGAGTTACCCAGGGGGGTCAGGACAGCAGTGCTGTAAGGAACAGGATGCGTGGTCAGAAAGAGATTACTGGCTTGTAACGAGACTTGGGGGAAGAAAGTAGGGCTTGTCACCAGCTGGGTCAGGCCTTGAGTAAGAGCAAACGCTTCAACTGCACGACCTGCTGCATCAGCCTTGTTTAAGTCCAACCAAAGATCATTATGGGCATTGAAATCACCGAGGAGAACTACCTCTTAGGCGGGGTGATTGATGTGCGGGTAAGTCATACCAGTTATGGTCCGAGGGAGAGCGATAAAGGTAGTTAACAAATTTGGAGCAGGAAAGACTGCTGCGGATCCCTGACTTCTTCTGGTATCTGGGTAACCAGACCTGACAGACCTACTGACCTACGATACTTTAACAAAGAGCGAAGGTCCCACGGACCGCTCTGACGGACAATGACGAATAGAAGAAGAGACTGCTGCGGACAAAAGCCACAACTCCCCGTTCTTTCTCAGATTTGGGTAGCTAAGATGGTTAATCGGTGCAGACTCTGAGATTTTTGTCTACGCCAAGAAAAACATGGCGGTTCGATTGGATTGCAAGTAGTGATGAACAGCATCGATGTTGCTGTTAATCCCGCCGATGTTCGTGAAACAAATTTTATCTTCGATGTTGTTCCCTCGAGTCCACCATCCACACAGACATTCGGAGAGTGGAGTGAGTCTACGTCCATAATTCTTAGTACTTGAGGGATACATCATTAATTTCTTTGTTGAGGAAGATAACCGACTGCGTAGCTTAGGTGTGGAAACATGTGGAAAAGCTAGCAGGTGTTAAATCGACATAAAGTGGTCCGTTGGCGGACTTGTACCGCCACCCGGCAATTGGTACTGAGGTATTCCTTAAAGCATGTACAGTTACTTGAACGGCAAGAAGTTGTATACTGAATGCAACAACTTCCGGAACAAGCATTTGCTAAGGCGTTTTATGTAATAAGTTAACATTGACATTGAATTGATTACTTTTATACATTGAGGTGAATTGGTATACATGTATGTAACCGAATTATCCTGTAAACATTCCTATATAAATCTATTTCGCGCCTTCATTGCTGAAGTCTTTAAAATATGCGCATTGATTATGCTTAATTACATCATACAGATCAATAATTATTACAAGAAAAGAAGTGAATGCGCCCGAATTAGCATTATAACTGTGGGTATCTCTATGACTCAGTACATTTGCATAATATGCACTTTATCCATCTGATCTACAGGTATAACAAAAAAAAAGAAATAGGATCAAGTAGAGTGAATCTTCATGAATTACTGAAAATCTTAAGCTAACAAAGATTGGTCAAGCACAGTTTAAACGAGTCTTATCGTAAATTCCAGATCTTTAAAACGTCCATAAATTTTCATGATAATGCCTTAAACTAACGATCACATGTCTAAAGACGTGCTAAAGCTATGGCATCTCAATAAAATGTCTTTGATACGTTCAAGAAAGTAAGTATAGAAATTTAGAAATATGGGAAGTGAAAATCTATTTTTGTAACAAGCATTTGGTTAGTGGTAGGTACTTATTGTTTAGTCGAATGTCAAAAAAATCGTATTGTTAAATACGTGCTTGGAGGTATACAAAAAAGTGAACCAAAGCGCACAGGAAATGATGGGTCTGGTACTAAAGTTGAACCTTTTAAAGGAGGAATAGATGTCTTCTTTTTAAGTTGATTTCTAAGCCCCTTCTTGGTGTCTATTTGCGCAAAGCAATGATCTGGGATATCAATACATTTGCTTGGCTAAACTCTAAAGGCCCATCCTTACTGTTTCTAGGAAGAAAACTTAATATATAAACATAGATCTAAAATACGTTTTTTCGAAAATCCTAATAGTTTCAGTTAAGTACGATGAATCTTCGACCTCTGCATATCAAACTGTATAAAGCAAGACTATCGTATTTATGTTTCCATGGCAGATGTAGAAAATATGTACTATATATGTGTACTATATATATATATATTATATCTAATAGGTGCATAGTATCACTGAGATCAGCAACTTCTTAATTATAGGTCTTTCACTGACACTAAATGTGCAACTACCAATATGTTCCAGTTATTTTATTTCTGCCGCCTATGAATCAATTTTCAAATATACGACTACCTAAGCTATGGAAAAAATAAGCTCGCGATAATATTCGAACTTCGGTTCACAAGTTTACTAGTGCTTAAAGATATCTGAATCACGCAAGTCCGCATTTCTCATTTATGTCGGTTTGTCAGTCTGAGTCTGTTCTATATCAACGCCTCATAATTACTGAGTCAATCTACTTGACGAAATATTTAGAGAACCATCATAAACAGAGAAAGACAGATTAACGATTAGGCGAGATGGGTGGTACATTTGATATCATAAAGTTCAGAAAAATATATAAAATGGTACGTAAATCTAATATCCAAATATTGATGAAATATATGAGTATTTCTCCTGTAGCGGTGAGTTAGTGATGACACCACCGCAGACCAATTGGAGTTTGTTACCATCGCACAGTCGGCAGTGGCCTCCACGACGATGCAGCATCCGCCGTGCACGCAATGTCAACTATTGCCCAGTTATTTCGAATTATGGGCATATTATACCTCGGACTTTTGTCTTTTAATTTTCCCGTTGTTACCGGGATCAAAAGCTTCTTAATGAAAGAACGTCTCTGACAAATACTAAACACATTACATTTACAACACTAATCCCTACAAAAAATTTCCGGAAGTTGACCCGAAGCCACAGAATGTCCTCTCGGCTTGATTCCAGGAGTCGTTCATGGAGCAGGTAGGATTGCTACAGACCGAAGCCACAGTCCTCATGTTCTTCCCCAAATTGAAGGGCACCTCGTTCGGAGAACTCAGGTAGTTATTCGAGGCGGAATCAACGATTTTGGACTCCACCAGGAAAAGCATGGCGAGGCGATTTGCAGCAGCTAGTGGTGAGCACCGTCAACGTTGCTGTTAATCCTACATATGTTCGTGAATAAGATTGTATCATTGATATTGATCCCTCGAGTCCACCCTGCACCAGGACATTCCGAGGGTGGAGTGAGAATTTTTAGTATTTGAAGAATCTATCATCATTTCTTGTTGAGAAGGGGAAGGGGAAAAAGATGGGACTTCATAGACTTGATAGCTTAGGTGAGGAAATATCCGGTCATTTTTAAGACACCCTGAAAAAAGCCACTTTCTGTTAATTTGTACATGATGTTGTCCTGTAGTTGGAACAGCACATATAATAATCATCTTTATTCGATGATAGCAAGGTAAATACAAAGATATGAAATCGCTACATGGAAAAGGCGAAGTTCAGCTTGCATTCCTAGGGGAACCGCTGGAATGCCACTAAAGGAAAGATTATTGACAGAATTCAAATAGAAAGGAAAAAGGAAACATCACAATGGGAGATTATTCAAAGTATAAAAATAAGCCATTTAGATATTTAGCATGATACATTACTACAGCGAGATCTCAGAAACCTGGAGTAGTATTTCGTGAAAGAATCTAGCGATTCGGATTTTAAGTATTGAAGGTCAGCATTATATGTTTTGGAGATATTATGATAAAAGGATCTTTCAAAGAGATGAGCTGTTGGTGTGATTGTTTATGTTTACTTTGTATACATCTTGGCGAAGGGTAATTTTGATTTTTTTGATGGTGAGTATGACGTAAATAAATATTAACTTGCATTATCCATTTAGCACTACAAGCCTCTATGGGAAGCATAAAAAGCTACATTGCTAATTATTATACTATAAATATGGAATATAATACTAAACAAATACCAATAAATAATATACATGTTAAATACCTGCTCTTATTCACAAAAATTATACTATTTCCAGAACAAAAGTTGTTATTAACGAAGGTCATAAAATAAGTATATATGAGCTAGGGTGAGGGTTTCTAGCTGTATTACAGTTCTCAAGCATCTGTAAGCAACATGAAAGCCGTGGTGAGTAAACATAGTTTTTCTTATTCATTTCTTAGAAGCGTTCTAGTCACCCCTTTACGACGTTCCTCGCTAGGTTGACGTAGTTGTAGCCATGCTGCAGCGTGATGGTCCGGGCACTGATAATTTTTAACATTAATTTGTTTTTCCTAAATTTAGAGCGGTTGCAACATTTTCAGACCAACTCAATATTCTAGAATGAAGGAGCTTCCTGAACATTTCAATATGTAAGAGTTTTTGAAACGTATATATTCTGCATATTCAAACATTTCTCAATTATTGAAAAGTATTGTCAGCTGTTGAAACCTACCAAGTTTTCTGGATTGAACATTTCATAAAGTTAAGAACTTGCCTGTAGGGATATTCAGAATGGGTCATGACAAGTCGCGCATTGAAACATTTTACTGACACTATCTTTCCGACTTCAGATGTCCCAACAATCTGGTCTCCCTTAAATGAGAATAAGTTCTCGAAAAATTCAAACTGCAGCATTCGAGATTTCAAGATTTTCTAAAGTTGACGTATCGAAAGGTACAGTATCACGACTGCAGAAAAAACGATCACAGACAAATTTCACGGGAACCAGTCAAATAAATAGGTGACAAATTGCAAACAAAATTTGAAAACGCTTTACGTTATTCACTTACAGTATATGTCACTAACCGAATAGGATACAAAACAAGTTTCAACAACATTTGGTTTACTCAGCTATAAGTTTTGTAAACTTTGAAAACAGCAATACTTACAGTTGATCAATGTTAAGATTACCTGTTTCCATAATAATGTTAATACTACTGGAAAAGTTGCATTTCAATTTTTATTATGCGCTTCTTCGCGCTACTGTGGTATTGTGTATACACACATCGCCACAGCTAATTAATAATAGTTTGTTTAACTACATACATACATAAGGTCCTCTTCTTTCATGACAGTGTAAGGGGAGTCATGAAGACACCACTGACTCTACAACTTGCGATCTGTCACCACGATTTCCGGTTGTTTCCAGTTTTTTCCTTCTGCTTTAAAACTTTTGATACTTTGCTGCTCCATGATCTCCTAGGTCTTCACCTTCCTACGTTTTCGTAGATCTCTGCTTTCTCTGTTTAACTTCCACATTTTCTCTCAAGTGCACTGTATGATTCAATCAATATGTTCCCTAATGTCTTTCCACTCGGGTACCGTACAGTTTCTATTTTGTTAGCAAAACTCGTGGGTCCTGCTCCAGATAGAAACAATTTACGATTGTATACGTAGATTTGACTGTTAACTCTTATAAATATACTTTGATGTCACTTCCATTATATGGATTGTTCATGGAATAGTTTTCCGTCCTCCGCCCACTTTGGTCCATATAAGGCCTTAGGGTTATCATATCACAGGTGTTGCAACCAGAAGATATACTAAGTGACATATAAATCCGAACACCCAGTTTAAATGGTTTTATTTTAATAAAATTTTGTATAAGTACTTAATGAAGCATAATAAGTAAATGATAAAAATTTCAAAATGATTGCACTGCTTTAAAGCCCTTTGACCTTTAATAATGTGTGGTTGCACACTGATGTGCCACGCATTCTCCAACGCGCCTAGGCATGCTTCTGATCAGGTGGTCAATGTCCTCCTGTGGTATCTCATTCCAGGCAACCACCAACTCCTCTCGAAGTGCTTCTAGAGTCTGAGGAGGACGTTGCAAATTGAGCAATCTCCTATCCATCATATCCCACACGTGCTCAATTGAGGATAAGTCGGGAGATCTTGGTGGCCATGGTAACAATGTGACATCATTATGTTGAAAGAAGTCTATTGTGACTCTTGCAACATATGGTCGGGCATTATCTTGTTGGAAAGTTGGATCTGCCAGGGTGTCAAGATAGGGTAAAAGATGGGGTTCTAGAACTTCGTAGATATAACGTTGCGCGTTCATGTTACCTCTGATGAAGATTAAAGGTGACCTGGAACCATAAGCTATAGCACCCCAAACCATAACTCCATGAACATGTCTTTCAACAAAAAACTGTGGATTCCTCCTTTCACCACGTCGCCTTCTAACCCTGGCACGACCATCGTGCATGCCTAAACAAAATCGAGACTCGTCACTAAAGATAATACTGTTCCATTCCTGATCCCAGAGTGACCGTTGTCTGCACCACTCAAGGCGATTACGTCGGTGTTCTCGAGTTAAAGGGAGGACCCAGTGTGGCCGGTATGAAAACAAGCCAAAACTTCTCATTCGTCGGTAAACACTTCGCATGCCAATAGGTCTTCCGTGTTCATCAAACCATTCATTTGCAATGGACCTGGTAGTGGAGAAACGGTCCCTTAAGGCCAATAATCTTAGGCGGCGATCTTCACGGTCTGTTGTTCTACGGCGGCGTCCAGTGTCCCTTGCTCTTTGCGTACGGCCTTCTCGAAGCCATGCCTGACAACACCTAACCACAGTGTCTACACTTCTTTGCACTCTAACTGCAATTGCCCGAAAAGAAAGTGCAGCTTTCCGAAGTCCCACTATACGGCCCCTATCAAACTCACTAAGTTGACGAAATCGTACAGGTCTCCGTACTCTAGGCATCGTAACCGATCGTAAAGGATGCCAAGAACCAAAATCCGCCAAACGTTGATTCTTTACTGCGGCTGAAATATTCATTTTTAGAGCGTTAGTGAATTAAAAAAAGCAGTATAAAAACCGGAATGTCCAACTGATAAGGCTGAAAATTTTTTCACTTGTTATTTACAGTAAGATAAATACATTCACCAACTTTTATTAAAATAAAACCATTTAAACTGGGTGTTCGGATTTATATGTCACTTAGTATACAACATGGACCCCAGATCGTTTTAGCTTTTGCGAAGAAGCTCGTACTCAGAAACCAGCACGGATAGAAGTGCCGGTGACTATTAGTATCAGATTGCCTCATCTGATTTTTCATTCTTTGCTCTCACAGATCGTCTCTCTGTTCGCTCTCGTGGCCGTAGCTGCTGCAGCTCCCTCCTGGGGACATCACGGAGTAGTAGTTGCTGCCCCAGCTCACCATGGAGCTGTCATTGCCGGACCCGCCCATCATGGAGCTGTCATTGCCGGACCAGCTCATCATGGAGTTGTTCTCGCTGCTCCAGTTCACCATGGAGCTGTACTACACGGCGGATGGGGACATGACGGCGCATTGGGTGGTAATCATAATTTTTAGTTATTTTCCTTATTACTTCAACTTTGTCAATGAACGTTATGTTGTGTTATGTACAGTATCGGACAGCTGCTGAGCTTTGCAGTGCTAAAAAATATGCATAGAAGGTAGCCACGGGAACAAAACGGTGGACTTTAATTTTGACAGTTGAGCGGCTGTATAAATAATAATAATAATAATAATAATAATAATAAAAACAATGGGTCTTTATTAAGGGATACATTACATTTATATAATGCTCCTTAAAAGGCGAAGTCTAGAAAATATCTACACTACTCAACCAATCGTCCTACTTCGTGATAAGGTGAATGCTTGCACAATTATAGAGGTATTCTAAAACAGACTTACATCTAGATGTCCTTGACACCTTGCCCGTATGCGCAAAGAGCTAGGATGACGTTGCTTATGTTACTTCATTATACAGTGTATCCCAGATTAAAATAAAAATAATAATAACATAGTTGCAAAAGCTTTGCACCACGTCATCTGTCAGGAAAATGGAATAGCTTCCAGAAGAATTGGTACAAATATCACCAGTAGCAAGTAACATCATCTGGAAGTATCAGCATCTTGTAAAGGCACCAAAAATATGACTACAATGTGCGGAGAAAAGAATCTGAGAATATTCTCAAGTACAAGGACCTGTCCACTGAGATCAACAGAATGTGGCATAATAAAACACAGATCGTATCTGTAGTTATAGGAGCAGCTGGAGCAACAACCACCAGCTTAGTAAAACTGCTAGAGATAACATCTAAATGCATGTGCTTTTAAACAGCAGCAATATATGGTACCGCTCTTATCATAAGAAAAGCTTTAGGCTGACATTCGACCCCAGGGATGTGGTACATCCCCGGTGAGCGGAGGAAAGCACAACGCCCAGCTACCGCTACTTAAGGCTGTGAAATGAAGAGACGATATTAATAATAAAGGCGTCTTTATTTGTTACAATTACATGGCAACAATGAGTTAACCTAACTGGCGCGTTTAGCTTGGCTACTTGCACTTAACCAAAAAGGGGTCGCAACGTATGTTATCAACTTAATGACTACAGTGAGAAAATTTTCAAAAAATGTCGAATGGTTAATCCTAAATAATAGTTAAAAACATGAAATAGTGAAAATAATACACTCGTTAATAGATTATATTAGACGGATAAGATATTAAGAGAACAGCGATGTATAAACTGATATAATACTATGTGATGCAGTGGCTAGTTGATTTGTGAGACATACACGAATGATTCAGTTCTTTATTATTGAATTTTAAATGATGGAAGCATTATATGAGAACCCACGTTTGAATAACATTGAAGTATGCCGCAGTATCACAATAATCTTGTTTCTGAGGGTTCCTGTTATGTATCTGATTATTAAAAATTATTTTTGTTCCAAGATATTCAGGTTCTGACGTTAGAAGTAATTTATGGATAAACACTGAATTATGGTATTTTACAACGTCATTAATTCTGAAGCACTCAATTTTAGGGTATTTTGCAAATACATGATCAAATTTACGTAGCCTAAAGATATAGCGAACGCAATTATTTTGGACCGTATTTTTAGTTGGAATGTCTAAAGAAGGAAAATATAAAATATTACATTAATTTATAACACTAAGGCCTCGCTTAGTTTTTAACGTAATTTAAAGTTAAGTGACTACCTGTTTGCGGTCAAGGTACGTAGCCTTAGACAAGTTTTTTGAGTTAAGTTTTTGACATGCTTAATGAATCTCAATTTGATATCGAAAACAACTCCAATAATTTTTGCGAGATCTTTCAAGTGTAACTTTTGATTATTTATTTGAACTATCAGGCACGATAGTCTTTCAGTACAAAACATTAGAATCCTTGATTTTTCTGTTTAATCTTTGTGTATTTACCACCGCTTCAAGTTGGAATGAATGGAGTAGTTGAGTATCATCTGAATAACAGAATTTTTGAACAAGAGGATAAATTAATAATAATAGTGGGTCTGATACAGAACCTTGGGATACACCCGATGATATCATTATTGGAACGGGAGACATTTTTTGACTTACTGATACGCATGTAAATCAATTTACTTAATAAGATCTTATGAGTCATGCTGTTGAAGACTTTTGTACTCAAAACTACTGTCTAGTTATTAAAGTTAGGGAAGATTTGTGGTCCAAGGCTCTTAGGATATTGGCCTCTTGGATGATTATATTAAAAATGAATGCTACTGAAACAAGGCTTGTTCTTTTGAACGAAATGTTAACAGCATACTCAATAATAGGAACCTGATCCACAAAGAAAACAATTAACTCATTTAGATTAATAGAAGTGGAGAAGCCCCAACACCATATTTCCTTTCGTCTGTAATAGCGGTTGTGTCATTTTTGAAAAGCGTGCATTCTTGGTGTCTGCAAAATGTGGAAAGTTATAAGTACTAATGTCGTTTGTTTTCCTGTTCTAGATGGTGCCTGGGGCCATGGTGGATGGGGACATGGATGGGGACATCATGGATGGTAAACTCACAAGACCCACCTGATACACCACACAGAAATCGTAAACGTTCTTGTAATCCGAAGGAAATTATAAGGCAGCAGTGCCTTTAGTTCCCGCGTATCACTGGAAATTTTTACGTGCATTGGACCTTTTACGACGAATTCTGATTTGCCATGGTTTAGAACCCAAAACTACCTTACTTCCATACTTCCAGCACCGCTGCTCCTAGCGTATTTATTTTTGTACATACAGCCAAGTTCAATAAAATACTTCATTCGTCTTTATTGAGTGCTCTTTATTCCTAAACTCCAAGCTACTAGACTGTCAGAGTATTTGCATTCTAATTACCTATGGAGACACTTATTTATATACTTGGTCCTATTTCATAACAATACTAGATTAGTAAATTACAAGTTACAAGCACAAGCACTAGTAAATACGGTAAACTACTATTTTGGTCCACATGTACTTGTAAAAAACGTCACCCTGAATTTCCAAGTGCAGCACTGTGAAAATCGTATACCATGGAAAAATTCTGCCAACTATCTCGGTGTCACCCTTGATAGAGGCATGGCCTGGCAGAAACATACAGCAGCAACAAAATTCCAAATTGCGTTTCAGCTTAATGTAGATCCTTCAAATTGAGTTTTTATAAACAAAGTTCGACTATATAAAATAATTATTAGACCAGCCATTACTTATGCACGTGCGGCTTGGTGTTCTTTTACCATAACACACGCAGAGTCTTCAAATATTGTAAAGCAGGACTTTCCTAACAATTTGCAATGCTCCATGGTATGTCTCAAATGAGATACTACACAGAGACCTTGAAATTTCTTACTTGAGGAATAATGTCAAGTTTCAGGCGTTATGGTCAAGCGGAAGCGCACAGCAACCCTGTGTTCCGAGACTCTGTGAACTACATAGTGGAGCAAACTTGTAAGCCTTCAAGGTCCCGGCTCGCAGTGTGATAAGAAATTTGCGCACTTTCAGGCCCGTATCGTCAGTCGTTCCTACAATTGTAGGACCCCTTTATGGCCTCCTTGATTTTAATAGTATTTCCTATCCTGCATTAATGCTGAGATATTTCTGGATTTCTACTATTCCGTATCAGCGTCAGCGCTCTCCTATTGAGAAGTTTTGTTTTCGTTTTGAATCGTAGGAAAATTCAGACTGATAAAACATGATATAAATCAAAAACATGAAAAATTTGATGTAAATAGATATTTATTGCATAACCTCAAAATAGAGCGCTGACACGGAACAGTAGGAAAATATGAAAATCAAGGAGGCCATAAAGGCATCTACAATTGTCGGAGCGACTGACGATCCCTTAGTAAGCTCAAAATTACACTCTAACAAAACCTGAACTAAAATTTGTTTTTGGTTCACCTCACAAATTAATTTCTGAACCAAGTCTAGGTATTGCCTCTTAAACTAATACACTTCGTTTAATCTTCTCTTTCCCTTTCTCTTTTTTTCTTGACATCTTCTGGTTTCTGGGCAACCAGGACTGACAAATTCGATTAAAGTTCATTAGACAATGACTAATGGGCAAAGGTCCTACGGACCTAGACAAATAAATGACGAATAGTATTGTAAAAGTTTAATGAATCACAGAAGTGTTTTAATTGGTGGACACAGGCCGCAAAACTTGGCATTACGGACATGCCGACTGGGAGGGGCTCAGAGACTTCTTCTCTAGCTTTCCTTGGAGAGATGTCTGTTTCACTGACGCGGATGCGTCGACTGTCTGTTCTTCAATAACCGAAATTATCCACGTCGGAATGGAGGAATACATCCCTCACACAGTGAAAGCTCCTAAACCAGGGTCCAACGGCTGGTTCAACAAATCGTGTGACACTGCTCGCCAGCAGAAGATCAAGGCCCACAGAACCTACTTACAAAACCCCACTGTAGAGAACAGACAAGCCGACGTCGAGTCCAGAAACAAATATAACGAAGCGGTTCGCAATGCCAAAACCCAGCATGATATAAAAGTTAGGCACAGGGTAATGTCGCAGCGCAATGGCAGTCGGTCTTTCTGGACGCTGGCCAAGCAGATTGAAAAGAACTTCTCACACAGTAGCCTTCCACCACTTACGTGCCAGGATGGAACTATTGTATTCGACTCAAAGGCCAAGGCGGAAGTGCTAGCCAAGATCTTTGCTGCCAACTCCACCATGGACGTCCCCACCAACGCCCAAGTGCCGTCAATTCAAAGGGTTCCCCACACTATGCGGGAGGTAACATTCAGGCATAAGACCGTAAGACAAGTGCTCTTGTCGCTCAACATCAACAAAGCTTCTGGTCCGGACTTGATTCCTGCCATTGTACTGAAGAGATGTGCAGCTGAGCTTGCTCCAGTTCTTTCGCGTCTCTTCCAGATATCTTATGAATCCGGCACCTTCCCAGAAAACTGGAAATTTGCTCATGTACAGCCCATCCCAAAAAAAGGATCTAAAACCGACCCTTACAACTACAGGCCTATAGCTCTGCTTTCTGTTATAAGTAAAGTAATGGAGAGGTGTATAAATCGCGAGCTTCTGGACTACCTCGAACGTCACAGGTTGATTAGCGACAGGCAGTACGGTTTCCGGCACCAACGATCCACAGGGGACCTCCTAGCTTACGTCACGCAACTGTGGAGTAAACTCATCCAGTCTCATGGTGAGGCTCATGTCGTTGCTCTTGACATCACGAAAGCGTTCGATCAGCTGTGGCACGCTGCCCTCTTGAGCAAACTTCCATCCTACGGCCTCCCAGAAAAGCTTTGCAGATGGGTGGCTGACTTTATCTCTGGCCGCAAGATATCCGTCGTAATTGACGGATTCTCCTCTTCATCCCACAACGTCAACGCGGGTGTTCCCCAGGGATCGGTTTTGGCTCCAACACTGTTTCTCTTACATATCAACGACCTCCTTTCCTGCACGATCAACCCAATCCACAGCTTCGCTGATGACAGCACTCTACATGCAGGAATTCAGAGTGACAAGCCGATCTCTGCCGCTGAGCTGGAAAAAAGAAGACTAGCGACGACTTCTTCCCTGACAAGAGACCTGGAGGCTATCACTGCTTGGGGACGCAACAATCTTGTACAGTTCAATGCTTCCAAAACACAGTACTGTACTTTGACGAACAAAAAGCGAATTAGCGCTCATACAGTTTCCATGGACGGTCGAGTTCTACCAAAGAGCCATTCATTTCGGTTGGTCGGAGTCCAGATCACCGAGGACCTGATCTGGCACGAACACATCTCTTCAATAGCTGCAGCTGCTGGGAAAAAGCTAGGCTATTTGTTTAGGGCTAAGAAGTACTTTTCTCCGCATGACCTTCTCACTCTATACAAGGCCCAGATAAGGCCTAGCCTCGAGTATTGCTCACACATTTGGGGTGCTGCCGCCCCGACTACATTGTCCATGCTCGATGCTGTCCAGAGGAGGGCGGTCCGACTGATCGATGACTCTTCTCTAACAGACAGTCTCGGGACTCTTTCGCACCGGCGGGCCGTCGGCGATCTAGCTCTTTTCTATCGCTACACCAACGGGCTTTGCTCCTCAGAGCTCTCTTCCATGATGCCGCCGCGCGATGTGCCTGCCAGACAGACCCGCCTGACTTCGGCGTCCCATCCTAACCGTGTCAAAATTCGTACATCCAGAACTGGCCGATACGACCGCTCCTTTATCCCGAGGGTATCTAGATTGTGGAACAAACTACGGGAGGAAGCTTTTCCCAGTTCTACTAACCTTAGGCAGTTCAAAAATCGTGTTAACAAAATTTCTTTGGGATCATCATAGCAGCCGCGGTGTTCCGGCATTTAGGCTTCTGCCTGCGCGGCTGTTTCGATATAAAAAAAAAAAAAAAAAAAAAAAATGTAGTAACAAAATAAAAAAGGCAGAAAAATATTATAAAAATAATATTGGCTCTCCGATAGGATCGTTCCGAAAGATATGTGGCAATGATTCAAAAATGCGTTTTGCTTTAATTTAGAACAACCTCTTTGTATATGACACTCACAGACGGTATTGAGACGACTGCCTTGAAAGATAAGCCATCAGGTGGTCAGAATTTCTCCGACAAAGGTCTCCTGGAGTTCGGATAATGTAGGAAAAAGCCATTCAAAAATGAGAAGAGTTCCGATTTGAAAAAAGTAAAGACAAATCTGTAAATAATATACTTTAAGTTGTGATTTATTATTATTTTGGAATGATTCTACTGTAATTTATTAAGAAAATTATGCAGAGCTAATCATACTTGATGATGTCGATCTTATGTTACCATTCGTTGAGTTCGAATACTATACTAAAATTAATACTACCAAAAAATCAGCATCAGTGTTTTTTGTATCAAGAAGCTTGTCTCAGTCTTTTCTACCAAACTAGAATCACTTGTAGCAAATGTATTTGAAATAACAAGAAATATATTATCACTTGTACTTATAAAACATAAACATTCAACTTGAGAATATGATCTTGTAGCTTCTCAAATATGTTTAGAACTAGTATATTGTCTTTCAAATTTAGATGGATCACAATATCTCGAATTAGTACAAGTTACAGGTCAATTTACTTGTAATTACTATACCATACATTTTATGGAATAGGGCCATGGTGTTATTCGATACCTCGTTCTCTGCTATATCGAAGCACACATCGCTGGAGGGGCAGTAACTACCCAGTGATTTACACTTCCTGTGATGGTTCAGCTGCACATATGATATTAGAGTTGACTTAGATACTTTTTCTAAGATAATAAATATAAATACAATAAACGTTAAAGGACTGTCTTCATTATCCAAGAAAAGAAGCATTCTTGACAGCCAGCTTTTAAATGTTATTTTTTTCAAATGTCGGATGTTAGTGTGTTCCAGTCTGAAATTTCAAATTTATTTGAAGTCCGATATTGCGTGATAATAATTACAGACTATTAGCTGCATGGAATATAAGCCAACGGTCTGGTTTCAACAAGACGGTGTGACGCTGCTCTCAATACAGCTAATTTCTCGTATTGGACGAGTATATTGGCCTCCAGACTTTGCGGTACCACACCTCGAAGCCTTTTGCATTCAAGCCTATGTTTAAGTAGATATAAGAATACGTTTTAGGAGTTATAAAGCGAAGTTTCTCGAGTTGTTCGCCAAACACCGCTCGAAATTTAAAGTTTCGTTATCGAAACTTGGACTCCCGAGATGGACCACAATATCCGCAATGATGCCCAACATTTGACAAATAATTCACAAAGAACAAATGTCACGTATGTTTCTTTTGTTTGGTGATAAAGTAAACTCGACACAGTCAACTGTTTTTAATTTTACTAAATCACCTAGTATCTACCATGTCAAAGGGCGCCTTCAGGAAACGTCAATGTTGTTGAGCTTAATATCAGTTTTCATTTGATTCATATTCTGTGGTTTATATGGACTCGGACATACAGAGCTGAAATACTACCTAAACATGGGAATGAATCATAATATACGTATCATCCTACAAGTGATGCCAGCGGTGTCACTCTCGAATCCTCGAGAGGAAGCGTCTATCGAAAAGGACAAAATCATCCCAGCAATGACTATGGCTCCACACCTCAAGGACAGCGAGGTGCAATTTAAAACCTGCCTAAATGAGCAACAAAAATTCAACAAGGACATAATAATGATAATTCAAGTTCTAAACGAAAAGTTCATATAGACAAAAAAAGGTAATCACATACGTATGTTTATCTGATTTTAATATTTTTAGCATATATGTTCACCGCTCCTTACTAGTAAAATGATTAAATTTTCAGCTTGATTCGTCAACTGACTGCAGAAGCTGGTTCAATAATGTGTTGAGGATCCACGATTTCTTATACACTCATTCACACCCCTGGGCATCGTGCTGATAAGTTGGTCGATATCCTGTTGGGGTATCTCATCCGAGGCTACTGCAACTTCGTGAGTAAGAGCTGTAGACAGAAGCGGGATTCGTCACTAAAGACCACTTGATTCCATTTCCGGTCCCATAGAATTCTTTCTCTACAACAGAGCAAACGGTTACGCCGATGTTCAGCCCTCTTAAAGTCACTTAGCTGGGACACTCGGCAAATTCTACGCACTCTAGCAATCACAAAAACCTTCCTCAATAAGCTACACGAAATTTAACATTTAACTAACACTTTAAATGTACGAAAGCTGAATGCTTCTTTATAACCAAACAATACACGCAGCCACTACAAAAACAACAAACAGAAAAACCTGACCATTTTTATTACTTGTTGTTCACGGCAAGATAAATCGATATGTAAAAAATTCTTGAATTCTAATAAACATACGTAGGTGTTTACCCTTTTTTGTCACTCATTATATAAGCATGGAACCAATAATGTCTTGTTTCCAACATTTTGTGTGTCAAGCTTTCTTTGAAAACTCAGTGGTAGTAGCAGGAGGCTGATTTTCTTGAAAAAAATAGATCGAATTAAGTGACAAAGATGCATGCTCTGACGATGGCATGACAATTTGTGATTTTGATAAAGCGTTTTTTATATTGCTCTATGAATTCATAAGAAAAAGTTTAACGTCCTGTATTGGAAATAGGGCGTAACCGGCAGGGGTATTATTAAAAAAACCTAAAAAAAACGACATTTTGTCTTGCTGACTAGGTCGGTTTTAGTGTGCAAATAGTTCATTCCACCTTCGCTTGCTATGAGCGCTGTGAGAGCCATCAGAAGCTGCAGTGTTTATCCCTGAGACGATGTGAAAGAAAGAAATTGGTTGAGTAGCAAGATGGCATCTGGATAATCATGTGCATTGGTCTGCATGTGTATAAAATCAGTGATATTTGTTATTTGAGAAAATTATTACTAAATGTGCTGCCAATGAAGTATATCTATTAGCTGTGACCGACGGAATATTTTATGTCGTCCTTTCTAAAGAGAGGTTGGCCAATAGTAATATTTTTTTTGGGTTTCATGAATATTCCATTCTATAGCATATTTTCTCACCTATTATTGTCCAGGGATTTTCTTTTCTTGACTCTCACATTTATGAAATTCAGCATATGCAATTACCAGAATTAATAAGAAAAGGTGGATGCGCAACTAATTTCTAGCTCTGAATATATATCAAGTAAGTGAATTATCATAAACACAGATTACTAGCACACATATCGTCACAATGTACCTATGCACTGCCATTTCCTTCCAGATATAGTATACAACGTACAGCATAGACCTCCACTAATGTCATCTCTGAAGCAGATGTTAGGTCACATCAGAGCCAAACATTGATAGCTGAAGCATCATGACGTTTAGGCAACTCGTCCAGCTACAAAACGAGTTCACAACAAGTGTACAACAGCTATTGCTAAGTTAACAACTTTTAGAAAAACCTAGTTTATGTCATAAAAAGCCTACAAAATGTCAAAGAAGGGATGAGACGGATTGTTTTTAATATTTTTTTCAAATGTAATTACAAATTCATAATTTCATCTTAAAAACAATTTCTTTCTGAAGCCACACAACGCTGAAGATGGTTCTTCCACTCCTCATAGCAGTGCTGGAACTCCGACACTGCAATAGCCTTCAGCTGGTCGGTTACAGCTGTTTAAATGTTTTCCACTATCCTAAAATAAGTTCCCTTGAGCTGATTTTCCAACTTTGGAAAGAAAGAAAACTTACAAGGGCAAGCAAGTAGGGAGGCTGAGGAATCACAGGAATGCTTTTACTGGTCAAAAACTCGTTTATTGACATTGATGTGTGGCAAGGAGCATTATCGTGTTGCAACACCCAGTTGTTCTTGATCTTACGAACGGTGGTGTGAGTTAAATTTAACTATTCTCCGATCATTCTGACTGGCAACCGACGATCTGATCGCATGAGATTCCGGATTTTGACGATATTTTCATCGGTTCTTGAAGATAAATGCCTTCCACTTCGTGGTGCATCTTCAATTGACTCTCTCCCTTCTGAAAATGCCTTAAACCACCGAAAAACCTGGGCTCTTGACAAAACACTATCTCCGTAGGCCTGCTGAGGCTTAGCACGAGCTTCGTTGCACTGTGCCCAAGTCTGAAGCAAAACCTGATAGCACACCGCTGCTCGAAATTAATGTCACCCAAGCCCGGCGCCTCCAGCATTGCCAGATCGGACGCTACGTTGGCGGCGTCGTCACTTAATTCACAGACCTCGTTTCAACTTTTCTTCTTAGGACTAGCCAAAAAATCACTTCATAACTTTATTACTCTGTATTAAATCAGTGCTCATTTTTAGGCTCAATAAAAAATATAGAATCCAGGTCATGTTATTGCATACATTTAAGGTAAAGGGTTAGTTTTTGTCAGGTTATCCCGCAAAGTGCTTTACCAGCAAAGCGGGTGGGTATTTCATATTTAATAACTCACTTTATTTTAGAAAAAAAAATCGAATAACAGCGCTCTGCATTAACTCATTTTCTATAATATTTCCAGACTTGTTGGTATTTCAGAAAACAAAAAAAAGTCATGATGTCACATTCTTTTTACAAATATTACGAAATTTTGTGTCTGAATCTTAAAGAATAAATGTTCTGATAAACCGATAGATGAATATCTACTTCTGAATATAAATATGTACTCTAGAAACATAAAGGAAATTTATTTCAACCTCATTTTACCATCAAGCTCTGGTTAGCAAAGTTGTTGATCATTTATCTCACACAGGTGCATACAAAGGAAATCCTGCTACCCTGACATTCGTGCATCTATATTCTGCACTTTCGTAATCTTGAACAATTCCATCCACAGGTAAAGGCGTGGTGATCGGAATAAAAATAATAGCAAGGTTGCATAGCGGTATAAAATAAAAGATAAATGACATTACACTATATGTGCGCTTGCTGGTTACAGATTGCAGATTTATCCGGCGATGAAGCTTACGGTAATTACGTAATTTTAAGTATATAATTTAAGTTTTGCTTCCACTTTATACCTTCAGATCACTGGAATACAGTACACAGTGTACAGTTGCATAGAAGTTTAAAGAATGCTCACTCAATGTTGTCAATTTAGATATACATATTATCGTGGCCGCAGTTATTGATACAAAACAGAGACGGAAAATCCAGTCAACTAAATGTGAAAAACAAGCCGTTTGAGATAAATTTCATTTCTGACGCCCATCCAGAAGGTATTCCGGTTGCTAATATTTTGAGTTTAAAAGAAAGTTTTGACCATTATGAAATTGAATATAATCCCTTTCCATCTTTCAGTTTGATAGAGTATTATATTGCAACTTGAAAAGTGGTGTGTCATGGTAAACAATGCCGCATCATTTTTTTATTTTGGAGCGGTGACAGAAGACGTAAAAACAAAAAACGAACATTTCAATTAACTATGTTTTTTTTGACAGCTCGATCATTTTTGGAGCTGATACTTAGAAAAAGTGTTTTTACGTGTTTCTGACTTTGAACCTATTTTAGAGCAAAGAACTATAGAGCGCGGTGGTTTTAGCCGTACTGTTGCGAAGCCTATATAGGCAATATCTTTCGACGTAGTTATAATTGTTGGCTTTGTAAGTGTCCATCGAAAGTTGAAGTACCTTACTAGTGGTTCTTGGTGGTGGGGCCAGATCCTGCGCATATGACATGCACATGACTTCCCCCCATTTAGATACCGCATAAGGTCACCTCCCTTCTTTATTATATTGCTTTGTCCTTATTACTGTAGGTTCTTTTCTTCACTTTCTTAAATCTCGTTCGTTTCAAATCCGCTCCTCAGTCATGTTAAAAGTATGCTTTCAATATTCATTTTTATTGATTCATGTACCCAACAAAATAGTATTCACCGATTTATTTTATTCAAACCTAATGAGATCTAGTTATATAGTCGAAATCATGAAATATGACTATTACGTCATACCATAAATTGTACTGAAGTAATCAATGGACGCACGTCGATGATAAAATCACGAGCCAGAAACATAATGACAACAAATTTATATTATGATTTTGCGAAGTTAGGTTATTTCACTGATTATTTTTATTTCATCTATCTTTGTCGGATACATGCAAATTAGCAATACAGTCATCTTTCGTGATTTCGACTATAAGCTGATATCATTTATTATTCTCTAGCTTCAACTAATAGCCTTACTTGGCTACGTCGTTCATATTAACACTTCCGTGCTGCAATACGAAGCAATTTTAGTGCACCCAGGAATAATTGGAGGAATATTCAAGGGGCCAAACTCCGAAACCATCATTCAAGGTCCAGATGGCAGCGCTATTACAGCTGAACAAATTGGCGGTGGCGTGGAAATTCCAGATATACCTCCGTCGGCAGCTCTTATACCTGACACAGGTAATAGGCCCACGTTTTAGACAATGCAGGGATAACGAAGTAGATTCAGACAACCTCGGTGATAACCACTCCAGTAATTCGTTCACGTTGAACTATGTGTAAAGGGTAGATACCCATATTTCGTAAATTACCAGTATGAATAATGGATCCACGGACACTACAAAACAATCTTAATTAAATAACTACATTGTAAAACAATACAACATTTTAAAACAAAAACAGTGACAGATCAACCCAATGGCGATTTATAAAACCTAACATCTTTAATGCACAGTTGATTGTTTCTTCAGTATGTACGTTAAATGATAATTTTGAGTCAAAAATAACTCCCAAATCCTAGATCTGGTCTGTAGTTTGTAAAGATCTACCGTTGATGCTATAAGAATAAGTAATAGGAGAACGAGACCGACTAAATGTAATATTGAAAGATTTGGAATTATTTAAAAATAAAACATTCACTCCACACCAATGAAAAATATGGTCTCTTTGCAGCAATTCTGCATCGCGTTTGTTCCTCGTAACTGTAAAAATATTAACATCATCCGCGAATAAAAGATTTTTTCTGCGAGCTAAATTCATAAGACCACTAATAAATATATTAAATAACAACGGACCTAAATGTGATCCCTGTGGGACTTCAGAAGTTGCAGGAATACTACGAAAAGTACACCCAACATATCTTACCATCTGAGATCTATCATGTGAGTAACTACTTATTTACTTCAAGAGCAGACCCTGCACACCATAGCTGTAAACTTTGGACAATAATATCGAATGGTTAACACACTTGCACAAATTGTTACTGTATAACATCAAGTTGGTACAACTTGACTTACCCTGCTGACAAACTATGCTACTGATCGACAATAATGCTTTTACATTCATTTTGCAGAGATATATTGATCAAACAATTCATCAATTGCTGGATAGCGACACTTTTCAACAACATTCTTATTCCCTGAATTACAAATGGGCATTTAAAAGCTTTGTGCCGACTGCAGTGATTTATTAAAAAAACAGCACAATGTTTTTGCCAAAGTGAATATACATTTTTTTTAAATACGAGAGAATATTATCAGGGATATCCGAAAGGTTCCAACGTAAACTCACGACTTCACATCAGTGTATACAACATTCATGTCAACTTTTGATTTGAAATCATGCGAAAGCATTTAGTCGATATCTATGCTATGATAAATAGTAGAAAAATAGTCCACAAAAAGACATATTGCATGGGATTCCAGAAGAGCATCTGTTGTTATTATTAGATTTCCAAAATGGACGAGGATTATCAGATAAGCTGTTTTCAACCAACATAAGTTCTACGTATTGATATCAAAAGAGTACGACGTTTCAAAGAAGCTGACCAAAGGGGACCCTTTGAATTTGTTTAATAACTCCCCAATCTGGTAGATTAACAAAATGATGTAGGATTAATGCAACATCTGAAACGTATTTTGTGTTTCAGCCACCTCGGTAGCCTTTTTCTAATTACAAATAAAAACCGGACTATAAAAATTTATTTAAAATTCTGTCTTCCAGAAACAGTTTATTTGTTTGCGCAGCTGCTGTTTTTCAGGCTGTCATTGGATCACCCTGTATGCTAGCGGCAAAAACAAATAAAATATCACCGGGAAGACGGACAAATATTAAATATGTGATCAATGTATTTTATTTTAAAAAAACTGTTGCGAACAGATTGAGCTTTCATTTGGCGGCCAGAAAAATGTGAAGATTCATATCTAAATAAACCGGGTGTCCCTAGCTGGTGGCTCACCCCAATAATTTTTTGATTTTTAAAGATAGAAAAATGAAATTTGGTGTGTAGGTATATCACATAAATATGCACTGTTTGACGTATTCATTTGTTTACTCTCATTTCCGGTTCAGCCGGAAATGACTTCAACTTTGCTATTTTAAATAGAAAACCCAGTGTATTTTAGCTTGTTATATTAAAACTTAAAAAATACAATCCATTGTGGTATGAAAACATTAAAATGGTAAATTTTTTCATCACTGTCGTTACCTCATTTTTGATCAAACGCAAAAAGGTGGCTCATTAGCACAGCTACAAAGGATTTCTTTTCGTTAATAGTTATCTCTAATAAAACAATTCATTAACGTAATAAATATAATTTCCCAAAACTTTTAATCTTCAGCAAAATAAATACTTTTTAATTTATTAAATGCTCGAAATGAGCGCCTTGTTGTTGGCAAAGTTCATTTCTGTCAATTGTTTTGCGTATTACATTTTGAGGAAGCATTGGCGTAATACTATCAAGAGTCACACTTACTTTGTTTTCCAACTCGTTTCGTGTTGCTGACGGTGTACTATAAACATCGTTTTTGATTCGTCCCCATAAATAAAGATCTAAAGATATTAGGTCGGGTGATCTAAATATCCAAATAAATAAATTAATATTGATGAATATTTTGAATAATGAGTTCTACGAACCTTGGAGGCCATTTAACTGGTCGATTATTTCTAATTCAGTTCTCCCAGTAGGTATTATTCAAATAGGCTGATATCACCCGCGTGTTGTGGGGCGGAGCACCATCTAGGTGATAATATATGAGAGTTCTATTTATCAAAGGCATTTCATCCAAGAAATTAATTTTCAATTTAACGAGAAAGAAATTGCAAATATCTTTCTTCTATCAAATGTCCTCCAAAAATTATGGAGCCTAGAATCCTGTCTCCTAGAATTCCCATCCAACAATTAAAACCAAAACGTTCTTGGAAATTTCCTTCTTCCATTAAGTGCAAATTTTCTTTAGACCAATATCTTTCATTATGTCTGTTGAAAACGCCTAAATTTTATAAAGAAAAGTGTTTTCCTCTTGGTATTTTTGTAAAAACTAGTTGCAATATTCAAGCCTTCGTTCATAATCAGCTTCGTAAAGAAGCTGGTGTAATTGATTCTTGTAAGAGCTGTATTTATGCTTCCGTAATTTTCGTAGTGTCGTGTTGGATGATGGCGGTCGGGAAATCTTTTTACATAACTAAATTCTAGCAGCTTGCATGGCATTTTGCAGGCATTCTCCAAAAATAAGAAGCATATACCTGTTCGCTTCTTGTATGGTTAATTATTAAACTAGGAAAAAAGGGCAGAAGGTAATGTAATAATGTATTAATTTCTTAATCATTTATTTGGGAATCTGACAGATTCATGAAAACAACCGAGCATTGTTTTTCCTGAGCCACCTTAGTTTTCTGTCAACGCTGCCGGCTACGGCTGGTTGATGCTGTTATAGCAAAATGAAGAATAAAGAAATTAATGTGGATTTTTCTGGAATACTTTTGACTAAAATATCGTTTGTGTGGTATCAAATTGTGGGTAAAAAAATATTCTTTTTTGCTTTGCTAGTCACCCTCGGTCCACATTTTATTATATCATGGCACACTGGATTGAAAATTAAAAATTACAAATATTAGTAAGTTAGATTAGATGTGAAAGATAGCGAATGCAGCGTCATTGTACTAGAAATTCATTTTCTATTCAAATAAACAAAAATTTACTGGATGCCCCACCTAACCTAACTAACAAAGTTAAAGTCATTTTCGGCTAAACCGGAAGTGAAAGTAAACAATTGAATACGTCACACAGTGCATATTTAAGTGATGTATCTACATACTTAATTTCATTTTTGTATTTTCGAAAATTAAAAAAGTTATAGGGGTGAGTAACCTGCTAGAGACACTTGGTAGAGTTGGTTTGTTCCAGTAATATCACATGTAAGATTCATAAATTGCTGAATATGCCCATAATAAATTACAGAATCAAGAGCATTGCTCTTTTCAATGAGCAGATCTGCAAACATACGTTTGTTGATCGAAAAAAAATACACAAGATTACTATTAGTTTGACCGCTTATACATTATTTTACAAGAAATACTAAATGTACCAAATTTCGAACATTTTAAACACAAAATTAACCTAAAAAGCAATTGCACAAATGGAAAATGTTAACACATGTATTTTAGTTTGCTACTTGCTAAACGATCTAGGGGTACCTTATGTGTAAGGTATACCGTCGCCTCAATAACAATTTTTTCAGTTGCTAAGTCGTAAATTTGGTCAAAAACTAATAATCAGTTTTTATTTCAGCTGTAAATCTCATCCCAGACAGCTCAACAGCAAGACCAGATATTCTAGTAACATCAACCCTTTCTCCTGCATCAATTGAAGAAGCACATATATCATCTACAGCACCTGCACTTGGTTCTTCTAGAGTAGTCAGTGACAGAACCATTCTTATTTCTAACAAGCTGGTACCCATATCGTCCAGTGGGATTGAAATATTTACACTGTCTCCTTCTGTCGTGTCTACTACAACATCACCTCAAGAAAGTTTTCAACCTATAATTTTACCCTCGGACTTTGGACAAGATTCTTTACAATATAGACCAGACTTCACTGCCTCAGGTACAGTTCATTTTTGAAATACTTACGTAGAGTATCATCACCATATCAAAGATATAGAGTGAATTGATTGAATGACAGTTTTGTGGTTTAAAGGCGTAGTACAAACGATAAATATGATGTTACCACGAAATATACTGACTATGAGAATACTATTATCGAACAGTATTCGCGTACAACAGTTGGAAGGAATATGTCAAAGGACTACCCCTTATAATACAAAAGGTCAAGTGGTACTAAGTATATGACCTACTGCATTTTCTGAAACACCTAGAAAACTCAAAAAAAGTTTCGAACAGATGTTTCAGGACACCTAAAATCTAATTTGTTGATGTTGGCGGATATGACCTCAGAGACCATTTGGTGGTCAAGGTGGTCAATTCAAATAGCAACTATCATTTTTGTTAACGGATCTGTGTAGAGGTTGGTGTTCTACATCAGACTTGACAAGTGATGTGGTATGAGTATGACCTACTGTAACGTCTGAAAAAGACTTAACATACATCCTTAAAACTTGTCTACCACACATTTTTTTATTTATTTTGGACCTTAAGAATGACCTGGATAACATCCTTAGAGGTAATTGGTAGTCAGGTTGTAAATATAAATAGCAAGGACCACTTTTGACTACAGTATAAAAAATCATCCTGATGTAGAATCTCGAGCTCTACAAGAATCTTCGGTCAAAAATCTGGTTACTACTTGAACTTACAAATTTATTCTCCAAATTATCTTGCGTCATTATCTAGATCACTTTTGAGGTTGAAGATAAATTGCTTTTCTGATATCCTGAGACTTTTGTATAGAACATTTTCCCAAAAATGCGTGTTTGCCAGGTCTTTGGAGTGTTCGTGTAAATTTCAGACATTGCAGCAGGTCATACTGTTTAGACCACTTTACCGCATGTGTGCAAATGTTGTCTGAGGTAGAAGCTCAAACTCCACACCAATCTGCTGTCAAAAATGGTGATTGATATTTGATTTTAAGAACTTGACCTCCAAATGACCTGAGGTCATTATCTAGGTCACATTTGCGATCATCGACAGATTGATTTATTGATGCCCCGAACCTTTTTTTTTCTAAAAAAATTTACAGAATTGAGTTTTTGATTTCAGATCAGTTGAAAGAAGTAATTTTGTTGATATTGGATTTTATTTCTAGCATTCTCATTCCATAGTTACTTTTTGAATTTACCAAAATGCGGATCTATTTTACATTTAATGAATCTAAGTCAATTTTAAATTCATATAGGCGATATAACCGAGTATATGATCGTTTGAATGATGTGTTGTGGCCGTAAATGCTTAAATAAGCATCAGCTGGGAAATGTGAAGTATGAAAAACGGCTTCGCAGGTTTTGGAATGTCTCGTATTAAAACCTATAATCAGTGGGTTAAGTACACTTAAAATCAGTATATAGTAGAAGCTTATGCTTTGTGTATTTTCAGCACCTGCAAAGGTACTTCTACCTCCATCAAGTCCTGCGTCACCTTCCGTTGCACCTTCCAATGCCTACCAAAGCCCAGTGATCACAAAGCAAGCAGTCCATCAGAAACCAGTTCCAACAAACTATATTGTAACAACTCCAAGACAACCAGTATTGGTATCTACACCTGGAGACCTAAATCTATCTACAGGCTATACAAGCAATGTACGAGGTGGATCATCACCGACTGTACCTACCATACAACCTTATAATGAAGAGAGTCTATTAGGTGTCCAGCGCGATAGCGCTAGCACGAATTCTATTGTTCAGCCAGAAGCTTCTATTGGTGTGCTTCAGCAACAAGTCACAACAACATTGCCTCCAGTAAATTTGGTACCTGACAATGAAGGCGCTCATAAATCAAATATCCAAAGAATTTGGCCCTCTAGACCTTCATCGCCTGGATCTGCATCCGGTGTGAACGACGCCAGGCAAGTTTCTCGGGCAAATCCTTATCTGCCTTCTTCAATAAATTCTGTCCCAGTACAACCAGATCTGCAAGCTGTCCAGACCATCAAGGATATCTCTCAAAACTATAGGCAAAATATGTTCAGTGTAGGGAATAGACAGAATTCAATATCTAGTTCAGAACCTCCTAGGATTGTATCATCAACAATTACACCTACAGGCAAATTGAACTGGATATCCAACGAGGCAGAAAAAAGTCAGGTCCTAATTTCTGCCCAGCAGAATTCCAATGTCAATAGTGATCTAGTAGGTCAAACAGTTTTCATTTCTTCAGCTAACGGCGATATCCGACAACTGGATAGGGAACAAAATACACACAAAAACCCCTCAGTAGGGCCTACTATTAGACCAGACCTGAAAATAGAGCCACTCAATAAACAACTGTCTCCAAATCTCTCAAATATTCCTATAAGAGACACAATTTCCCCAGAAATTACAGTACCAAGAGCACCTGGGATAGTTTCGTCAACAGCGTCACCTACTATTGGAAGCAAACAACAAACAGTTCAACTCTCTCAACTTCCAAACAACAAAGGAGTTATTGCTACATACAACGTAGGACCAAACCAGCAGCCTCAACAGATCTTGCTGGAACCACTTCCCGATGGAGCTATCGAGCTTGGGGCTACAATATCATCACAAACCACTGTAACGGGCCTAGCAGATGTACCACTTAACCCAGCTGAACAGCAGGTACCTAATCAAGACCGGTACAATCGCTTAGGGGATGTAAGCCCTAAGATAGCTGGACAGCCAGTACCTAACCTCAACCAGTACCAAGTGTACCAGATTCAGGGTGAAGATAGTGCTCTGTTGAGTAGTACAAACCCTGTGGCTCCTCTTCCCAGTCAAAACAAGCCAGGATCTGTACCGATAGATTCGAAACCTCTAACTTTTGATATTGTTCCACAAAATGGAGTAGTGCTTCCGGCTAAGAATTTTGACGACTCAGCCACATCTGTTCTATGGAATAGGTATGAAAGAAGTTCAGAGAGAACCAGATAGACTACTTCTATATGGCGTGTCTATGGTTTTAGTATTTATTCCACGACGGACTAGTCAGGTTTCAAAGAGGTGGTGGAGAATAATTTAAAAATTCTTATGTTGTACATTAATAAAGGTGTATAGCCTCAGTGTATTATTTCAACTCAAAATATAGTTCCAGAATAAACAGGGTATTTCAGAAAGACATGCCAATATTTATAGTATGAAATAACAAAAAATAATAAATAATAAATATTTGTTAAAAGATGCCCCCCTACCAAAACACAGAGCGGATAAAGACACTCAGGAATTTAGACATTTAGTGACCACATCATCAGCAGTAACCACTCAGCTCAACAAAGAAGATTATTAATAATAGTAATAAAAAAGGCATGTTGTGTCACTAAATAATGGAGGTAAATATTTGTCACTTTACGAGACAGTAGCAAGTTTCAAATAATGATCTCAAATTGAAACGAATTTCCATTTTATCACTATGCAGTTTATTATTCCATTGAACACATAATATCCATATCATTCTCAATGTACCGCGCCATCTTTGGTAGTCACCTGGTTCCTGGCCTCCATGTCGTAACTTTATCCAATCCATATGCCATGACTAGATAAAATGTTTGGGAGACCATATCCAAGAATCTGCAGGAGGAAAACTGTCTATTAAATAGAGTATCTGCTGCCTATATGGCTTTTATCGATGTCAAAATGATAAATATTGAACTCGCTTTTAATTTAAGCACTTATTCAATATAATTTTCTATTTTGAGAAATTCTTTGCAGCTGCCGAAACACCAGTAAAATTCCTGCTTCCTTCAAATGTTGTTTTAAGTATTAACATACATGTTATTAAGTACTTAATGAATATTTCACTTGAATAATTATAGGAAAAGTATATTACAGTTTTGATTTTTCAATAAATTGTAGTTCCATCTATGTCAAAAAATAGTGTAATAAAAGCAGTGTCAATCAAAAAATTAACGTAATTTCAACGACCTTTTGTAACATGTGAAAGTGCCAATGCTACTAAATACTATTCAGTTACTAGACAAGTCTTTTTCCGATTGCATTATTTCTATAACTATTATTTTATTTCATTTAATAATTCCACGCGCCGGTCATATCATTAGTTATAGACAATCAGAGCATTGCATAGAAAAACTGCTACAGTACTGGTTTCGCTCGACTTTTCCAAAGCTTTTGAAACCATTGATCATGGATTGCTTTGTCCCCAATATCATGGCCTCGATGGCATATATTTGAATTTTTTCAAGTTATACCTATCAGACCGTTTTCAAAAAGACAAAATTGGGAGTGATATCTGAAAGTAAGCAAATTCTTGCAGGAGTTCTGGGGCCTCTACTTTTCATGATTTAAATTGCCGATTTTCAGATCGCTTTGTAACGATGTTGAATAGCTGCATAGCCGCTTATGCAGATGATATCCAGTTGATCAAACTCTTTGAACCGGAAATTTTATCAACTGAAAAAAATTAATAAACGAAGATATAGAGAGTGTTCTCAAATATGCTATTAATCACAACCTGTCAATAAATCCCAGTAACTATAGTTCAATGTTATGTTGTCAAAAAAGGTCTTATAATCCCATAAAGTTAAATCTTTAACGACAGTTTAGAAGTCACAGATAAATTAAAAATTTTGGATGTAATGTTTGGTGACAATTTGAGATTACATATTTCAAATACAAAATATTTATTTCGTCATGAATAAACATCATAAACAAAGGAAATTCTACATATAGATCAATGAAAAGGACTGTCTCTCGATTATAAAACCGATACATTGGACCCTTTAATACAAAGAGTCCATGCGAGAAAGCCCTAAAAGTCCTTAAACAAACTAAAAAAACTAAAACAATAAATAGGCAAATGAAAAGGCGGTGAAACACAAAAAGGCAAAAACGAAGAAAGAACTCCCGGGAGCTGGCAACGGGCGCGAATAACAAATCTATACAACTTGATATCAATTGCTCAATTGATTTAATGATATCAACAGTATCATACAAAAATCTTATTAAATTAATAAATTGATATGCGAACAAACACATTCTTGGTACTAATGTTAAAAAAAACCTTATCCGAATCATTTAATCATGCCCACAAAACATTACTGTGACATCTTATATTACAGCTGCCTGACCAGTGACGGAGAAAGTGCAAAACTCTTGCTGTCGATTTGTTTATGGACTAAGAAAATATGATGATATATCAGCAAAGTTGAATGATCCTCACTTTTGTACATTTTTAATTAAATTAATTAAATAAATTATTATATAATAAATTAAATTAATTAAAAGTGACTTCCACACCACCTCATTTATTTGAAAAACTTACACCTTGAAAGTTAAGACGCGGCGATAACTTAGATATACCTCGAAACCATTCAACACTATTCCAAAGATATTTCTCATATAGCGCTGCGAAATTACATAGTCAAAAGAATAATGAAATAAAAAGTAGGCCATATTGTGGCTGCAAGCAGAGTCACATAGCTAGTTTCACGTTTTGATTTTGTACATTTACAATATTCGCTAAATTTCTATATAATCTACTTTCTTAACAAGGTTAAGACTCGTATCGTTAGAGTGTTCTTAGAATTGTAGGACGCCTTTATGGCCTCCTTGATTTTCATAGTTGTCTCCCTCTTTCAGAAAGGTTGAGGTATTTTTATATTTCTACTGTTCCGTGTCAGGATCAGCGCTCTTCTATTGTGAGGTTATGTTTCCTTTTTGAATCCTAAGAAACAGATGATAAAAATCAAGTTTTATCAGCCTCAAATCAAGGAGGCCATAATAGCGTTCGACAATTGTAGGAACCACTGACGATAAGGCCATTGGCTGAATTTCGCCCTAATAAAGCCGGAATTATTATAATTTGTTCTTATGTCATTTTTGTGAAAAACACTTCTATATGTAGAAAGAACTTACTGGAGCTGGTAATGTATATAAGCGAGCTACTGTAGGGGCAACAACGCTACCTCCAATGTTGGAAGAAGCTATAACACCTCCATCGGGACCGACAACAGTTGCGTGGCTTGAGGGCCCCTGAACCAGCGTAGCTGCAGGTGGCACGAAGCCCAGTGGGATCACTGAAGCCATTGATAACATGATGCTCGACAGCAAAAGAAGCTAAAATTTCAAATCAAGCTCTTTTCAATGTCACAAATAGTAAAGGAAGGCAGTACTTCACAAGACAATTTATGGTCTGCTGTAGAAAACAAAGAATAATGTGAAATGTTTCTACAAAAATGTCCTGAAGGGCACTCCTACTAAGGCGCTGGCCTCTAAAGGCGGTTTTTTACTAAACGGATACTTGAGTTTATGTTGTGTTTGTAATCTCTAGGACCTGAAAAATAAAAACAAAACTGAAACAAACGAAAACTCTTGATTTTATCAAGCGGGCTACATTCTGTTCGAGTTTTGTTTTGTATTTTCTTCTCCACTAGTTGTCGCCAAGAAGTCAAAGCACAGTTTTTCTTCAAGATTCAACTATTTATATATATATATATATACATATAAAGAGAAAATGATCATTCGAAGAAAGGTATATGCATATATATTAATGCATATTAATGATTAAAGTATATTTTAGAAGAAGAAAACTCAAACACAGATATTAGGTTCGATTAAGCTTATCTAGGAAGGTAAACGATGGTTCTACATAATTAATTCGTGATATCTAAAATAATGATATGGGATTGCATGAGCACATCGCACTCATTTTCAGAGAGATTCAATTTCTGTTAAAGATTGATTAGTCGTAACACTGAGGTTCCTGGCTACTGGCGAAAGTTATCAAAGCTTTATGTAAGTACTTATAAATTCATTTAAAAAACTACGTTATTTATTTATTTACTAATTTGGTACAAAATTCATTTTCAGACTACCAAGGCGAAAATAGAGAACACAATATGACCGTTTCCACTAAACAGCCTCGATTTTCAAAATATTTTCACTGAAACAAAGCAGTTACGTCATATTTAGTGAATTTGTATGCCAACATTAAGGCAAAATAGATCCTAAACTGGTACGTATAGTTTGAATTTCCCGGGTACATTTATGTTGGTAACAGTTTTCGGTGTTGTGAGGTTGTTAGGTAATTACGTCATTATTTAAAACTTTGAGTAGTCGTTTTAAGCATTTTCCTTTTTTGTCACTAGCGTCTAAAAAACAAACGCACCGAAATGTTGGTTACGGTAAGGTATCCAAGAGATAAAGTAGATTTTGTAAAACTTCCTATGATCTACTAGTTTTAATTAATATGGCAACCATGTGCGTCACTGTCATTATTTGACATTGTGACGTAACTGCTTTGATTCAGTGAATATATTGTACGTCGAAATACTTTGATGTGACCGCTTCCAAGTGGGACACGAAAAACACAACTTCAACTGTCGCAAAACACGCCAGCCTTCAAAAAGTTTGCGAAAAGTTACATTCCTATGAAATCATGACATTGATTCTATATCACAAGTACTTGAAATATGTTGTTATTTTAAATAAAACTTAGTTCAAAGTCATATCACTCAAAAATATATCAAAGTCATGATTTGTAATTAAAGATAGTTACTTAGAACACCTTTTTGTGTGTATGGCAACTATGTTACCTGGTTATATATCTCGGCTAGATGAGCCCTATCTCGAATATACCTTAGCAATGTTTTCTGCAATGTGCATAAGCATACACTTCTCAGAATTTCTCATCAAAAGAGCAGCAAAATCAGTTAAGATTGATTTACCAAATTGTATGGGTCTCGACAACATACCTACATCAATTACATTACATTACATTAAGTAGGATTCCAATAGGTCGGAAGTGTTAAACATGTGGTACAATACAGCCAGAGCATACTAAAATATTGCCTGTGTAGATAATGTAGAAAAATATTGCCCATGTAGATGTTCCATTAGAAAGCTTCTTGCTTATGTTCAAGGAGTCGAGAAAATACAAGCCGTATACAACTACAATACTCACCAATGTCTTCATGTTTGCAATGACGATCACAACTGAAAAGTGATGTGCAATCTGCAGGTTTTTATATCGTATTGAGACTGCATACCTTCATTTGAAATTCATCGCTCTTTTACTTACAAAGGTAAATCAATCAAGTTAATAGATTGCAATAATGTACTTAATTGTAACAATACTCCAGGAACAATAATCACACATGATAGTTTGCATTAGGAGTGGGTACTTCTGACACTGTTTTAAAATCGATATATCTCATACCGAAGGTTAGGTCACCATTTGCATTGGTAAATTCGTAGGGGCCAGTTGTATTAGATAAACCATAATTAAGGAACCAAATGTCGTTACAAAATGTTTTAAATGCCCGTAATCTTGATTGCATCAGACTAGTATTTCCGATCTTGCGTAATACAATCTAGAACACTATCAGGTTACTTTCTCGCACAGCATAAGCATTTCCGATCAAGTTCAAGACTTGCACTTGAAATGTGGCGTTGACCTTATGTCCATATAATATACGACTACATTAACTATGCTCAGCCGAATTAAACCCATATATCAATTTATAGTGACCATTTTTTTCCGGGAGTCATCCAATCAAACTCTCTAATAATAATTTCACCAATCTTATTGTATCTTGTTCCTCGAAATTTGCTGTACAAAATCCAGCAATCTGGAGTTCTGCATCTGTTGGTACTGTTTTCCTGCCGGTCTGTTGCAAACTGTGGACTTGGTTTCTGCTCACTGTGAACAGTTCCACCACCGTTTCTTCTCAATTCATTATATATGTATATGTTTACCACATAATTGAATGGATCCTTCTAAACCAAGATTTATGCAACATAACATAGCGTCCTGAAGATCAGCAGAAAGTTTTGGAAGCTCGCCAGTGCACACTCTTGAAAGACAGTAAATTGATAAACCAAGCTTATAAAGTACCCATACGGAGCTTTGAAATGGGGTATCACATGACCCCTCATTCTATTTAACGTTTTCAAATGCCAATTTTACGCTGGAATGTAGTATTCGTGCATCAATTTTGTCACACACACATGAATTGGGTGGTAAAACATCGATGTTCTTACTCACTTTCCTAAATACTCCAATAAATTTAACGCATATTGTCGACATTGTATTTGTATCTTCAGGAATTATTGTCTTATATCGAAGTTTAACAAAAGCTAAACTCGAACGCTCACGCCAAGCAAGTTGTCATAGTGACAATAATAATCAGAAATGAGGAAGGGTCACACGTAGACGAGAAAATTTCCAAGACATCCAAGCATAGAGGCCGATTACATATACAGGGTGGCGCATCGAAACCGAAACAGACGCATTTACTGGCAGCTCAGTTTTTTTTTGGTAAAACGCTCAGACCCGTCGATTTTGTTTTTGAGGGAGACACAAGTTTGGCAAAAGATCATGTTAGCACGTGCAGCCCCCTGAGCGGGAGTGACACCACCCCCAAAATCATAAATGAAAAGGGGGGTCGAGTGATACCTTATTTTAAAGGTCTTTCAATTCCCTTTATAATGATATAAAATTAATGTACTTCAGTTCAGTAGTTTTGAAGATTTACTGATTTAAAGCTTAAATAAAACTAATAAATCATCATTAGTGGAGATCAACACATTTGGCAGCAAAGCAATTTAAAAATGAAGAATGAACTGACCCGTTAGGCAAGTAAATGTTGAAAATGGCCACCATGACTCTCCATGCAATAATAAAGATTTTGGTCAAAACGTTGCCGCACATTTTGCAATATTTGAGAAGTAATTTGAAGGCACTCATTCACAATTCTTTGTCGCAGGTCTTCAAATAATGTTGGCTGAGTAGCATAGATTTTGCTTTTTAAATGACCTTACATAAAGAAATCCAAAGGTGATAAATCTGGCGATCTTGGGGGCCATTCAATGGCACCTCTTCTACCAATCCATCGATCTGGAAACGTCTGATCTAAATATTGTCGAACACGTAATGCGTAATGTGGTCGGGCACCATCCTGTTGGAACATCAACTTATTCGCAATGTACCGCCGATCATTCTGATTTTCAATTATGGCTGTTAATGCAGGATCTATGACGTCTTCCAGTAATTCCAAATACATTTCACCGGTCAAATTTCCAGGTAAGAAAAAAGGACCAACAAAATGGTTGTCAAAAGTACCAGCCCAAACATTTAATTTTTGTGGCTTCTGTGTATGAACCTCATGATAAATTCTGGGATTAGAATCGGACCAATATCGACGATTTAAGAAAAAGGAACATTCGTCGGAAAAGCAAGTGTTGAATAGAAAATGTTCATCGTTTATAATTCGTTCACTCATATCTTTACAAAATTGTAATCGCCGATCAAAATCCTCTTCATTAAGTTATTGTACCAGGTGAATTTTATACAGATGAAAACTATGGGCCTTTAAAATCCGTTGGACAGCACGTCGACTAACCCCACACACAGTCTCCAATTTGTGGGTAGTTAACGTAGGTAGCTACATAAACTTGCCCTAAAATCCCCACTTCTAGTGCTTCGTTCCTTATGGGATTTTCAATGCTGCGTTGTTCATTGGCGACTGACCCAGTTTCCCGAAATTTAGCTACAAGTTCTAGAACATATTTTCGATGCACGTTACTGTTCTCATGTCGCTCGTTAAATTTAAATATTTCTGCTGTTCCATTAGCGCACTTCCGAAAAATATTTCGATAATTTCAACTCTTTCTGCTGTGGAATATACCATGGTTAATTTATGTAATAAAGCGTTATAAGTTATTTTAGCAACAAACTTTGGTCAAATCAATAGCAAACTATGAATTAAATTCCTATTTAAAATAAGTACGAGATATTTTCTTATCTTTCGTCGAGAAATAACTTTTTTGCCACAAAAAACTCTCTAATAGCTATTTTCAACAACAAAATGATAAACAAACCATGGGCGTAGTGATGAAAAGTATTTACTTATTATGTAAATTCTTTTAGTCAAATTTCTTTTGAAGGTAGTACAAACTAATCTGCTTTAAATCAATAAATCTTCAAAACTACTGAACTGAAGTACATTAATTTTATATCATTAATTAAGGGAATTGAATGACCTTTAAAATAAGGTATCACTCGACCTCCCCTTTCCATTTAAGATTTTGGGGTTGGTATCACCCCCGCCCAAGGGGCTGCACGTGTTAACGTGATTTTTTGCCAAACTTGTGTCCCCCTCGAAAACAAAATCGACGGATCTGAGGGTTTTTAAAAAAAAACTGAGCTACCAGTAAATGCGTCTGTTTCGTTTTCGATGCGCCACCCTGTATATGTGTATATGTGTGAGGGAGATGAATGAAAGAAATTCCTGCCAAAAACCGTCGAAAGATCTATAGTTTATCTGACAGTTTTTGGAGCGTCGCACTACAACTACCGACATCACTTTTATACATTCATCTCCCTCACGCATACATATGCAATCTGCCTCTGTGTCGGCGCTTGACTGTGATAGTTCAGACATTCGTTCTTTAGTTTCGTCTCGCCAACCAACGTATCAGTATTCCTAATCTATGCTTGTCACTGCTAATGTGACAACCCACTTGACATGGGTATACCATTTTGAATTTACATTTTACTGATCTTCGTTCAACATCAATAGTTTTTGCCACAATTATTAGAATATTTTGAATGAACGCAATGGTCCTTTATTAACCAATTCATGTGTGCGAGAGCCATTTAAGATCAATGTTCAACTGTGCAATTTTCCTAGTTGGTCGATTTGCATTCTTAATTAATATGGCATTGACATCGTAATGTGTATGCCTAGCAACCCGAGTACGAGGTCCGGATCCTTCGCCGCACTCTTTCTGACACATATTGCACGCTTCTCGTATACTTTACGACGTCAGCTAAATTTGAACCTCACCGTATATAGAAGACTTCAACAGGCGATGAGAGGCCAAACCCCGCTTCAGAACGTACATATATATTTTTTTGAGAGGTTTGCAAATAATGCAATCTTCTAGAATTTGATACTTTGTAGTGGTATATAAATTAAATAAAATAGGCAACGAACCACTAAAAAATTATTTATTGAGATGTTGAAGGTTGTATAGCAAAAATTGATCTTATTTATATCGGTATCTTGAAGAAATTTGTTATGATAGGAAAGTGCATAAGAACATTTGCTTATCAATATACGGATATCATTGACATCATAATTAACAAGAACTCATAAGAAAGGTAATTACCGGGAATATACAGGAATCATAAGATGTTTACTAAATATACGAGGGTGAAACAATAATTTCTAGAGCAAATTTGTCTCTGGATAGCAGAACAAGTTGAATTTTGATATCTAAGAGAACCTTTTAAATATATTTTCTTTAACACAACCTAAAAAATGAAAGAGTAGCTACGATTTATTTATGCATGAAATTGCTATTTTTTAGTATGCTTTTCAAAATTCCTGTTGAGAATTGTGCAAAAAATATTCGAATGAGTTAAACATTTTTGTTGGTTCCTTTGTGATTAGGGGAATTTGAATTTTTTTTGTGGCCTTCGTATTATGCCACGTTATGAGACTTCAAAAGGAGTATGAGCAACCATAAAAAAATATCAAAAACTCATTTAGGGTAGAAAGACATTATCCCTCGATTATACAAAACAGCGATTTGGAAAATCTGACATCCAATTATTTTCACGAGTCGTATATAAAGCTGACATAGTAAATATGGGAGCGAAAGTGATAGTTAACGATCGTTAATGGACACATCAAGAAGATAATGGTACTTGTCACATTTTTCTGACTGGACCTCTTGTGATTTTAAAATTACTAAGAACAAAACGGTAATTATTAAATATTCAGTAAGTATCCATAGAATCTAATTATTAATTGCTATATGCATGGAGCTGTTTTAAAATGAGACTTTTATTGGATTGAATGTATTCCTTTAGTGAGAATAATTAGACCAGGTGCTTTAAGTACTTGAAACACTTCTTTCTTTGTTAACTATCAAAAAAACAGAAAACAGCAATTTGCGGAGTCCGTACTGATCTCTGATAATGCCGTCTGGGCATAGGTATTGATCACCAATTGGTACATTCACTCTTTTGCACTTATTTACCACCAATAAATGTCGAAGATCACTTCTTTTAAACTTTGATGGTTGAGGATCTACCACAGAAAAAGTTTTACGTATGTATACCTGCCGAATTCAAATCCACTAACGAATGACGGATATTCCATGTCAAATGGGATCCTGTACTATGAATTTTATATTTTATCAAATGTAATGAATCTCAAAATTATTGTTGCAGCGCTTCATTACGCAAGGCAGTGTATTTTTCACAGTCATATTCTTATCTACTGCAATATCTGATGCAATCGTGTTAACGGTTGACAAACAATCAGACGCAGAAGGGACGACGTGAACTATAATGGACCTGTCTCCAGAAGGCTGGGCCTAACTATATAAAGGATTTATCTCTGGGGTGAACAACGTTAAAGCAAACTTTGTAAGTGTTCGTTTGTGCTAATTGTCAAGTGCGAATATAATTGATAGTGACATCAAAATGAAGACCCTGGTAAGTTGCTTTCATATTTTTTATGTTTCCTGAGTTACCATTTTTAAAATTGATGCACTCAAAACTAAAATTCTCCATGTATGTCTAGCCGCAAAATGGAACCACATACGTTTGAAATACTGTAAACAATGACAATAATTCAAACATATGTGGTTTCTTGTAGCGGCTAGACATACAAGAGGAATTATCAGCATGAAAACCACAGAATAAGTTTCAGGTGAAAGATTAAAATATTTTTCCGCAATTTTGTAATTCAATTAACAAGGCAATTGCGGAAGTGTAATCGCAAAAAATTCGAAATAGCTACCTCCATGCCAAAAATAAAAAATCTTTGTAGGTTTTTTGAAAAGTAATTTAGCGGTGGCGGAGCTATCCACAAAGCTCTAGATGGATCCAACCTTTTGGTGTGTCCCACAATTTTTGAGTGTAGCGCGAAATAATTTTTTGAAATACGAGTATGTGAATTCGAAATTTGGTTTTTGATAAATAATAAAATTCTGTAATGTCCCAAAAAGTTGAAACTACAGTTACACATCTTTCGACTTATCACTAAGAACAAAAAATAGTATTTTCATTGGGTGGAAGATACTCAGCTAATCTACTAGACTCTGTACTTTGATATTCCTTAAGCTTGTCAAATTCCGTTGGTGAAAATCTTTGCTTAAAAAATAGAACATGGTCAGCTCAGCCCACACGTAAGAAATATTATATTATCCTCCTGGTTCTATCTTTAACATCGAATTAATAATTGAGCATAGTGAAGAAATTGTTTTGGGCTCAAGACATTAAAACAGTTAAATTTCATTTTTTATTACTATTGGAACTTGGTAATTTCAGAACGTACGTGGAATCACGTTTCAGCAATTATTTTTACGTAAATCGACCATATATACGTACAAAGATCAAACTGAATGCTGTGCAGATATTAATTTCAGAGCAAGTGCCATTTTTCTACATCATTATCTATCAAACTACTATTTTAAAACCACATGTTTAATAAAAAAAATGTTTTTTAGACAATGCTACTTTCCGTTTTTGCTGTCGCATCTGCTAAGCCCTCAATACTGGCAGCAGGTCCAGGCATAATTACATCTGCAACAGCACCTGGTGCGATCTTGACAGGCCCTTCTGCAATTGGAGCACCCGGTGCTATCATAGGAGTGCCAGGGATACTTGGAGCTCCAAGTGCCATCTTAGCAAGCCCTGCTGCCATTGCTACTTCTGGTACCATATTGACATCACCAGGTGCTGCCATTGGCCTTGCTGGTCCGGCAGCTATAGCTACTGCTCCCGCAACCAGCGCTGTAGTAACAGGTATTTATGAGAGACAATACAGAATTACTTTGGTACATGAGTGTGTATCGATTTTTACTTCCTACACCAATTTGCAAGGGAGTATCGTAATCGCGAAAAACTTTGAAAATGAGACATTATGTTTTTTGGATGTTCATTTTAAAACTTCCCACAACGGATTTATTGATAACTACTCATTAAAAGAAAAAACGCTGAGACACGTCAAAATATTTGTCGAGGGGACAGCTTTTTAACCAAAAACTACTTCGCCCTCTTTCACCCTCGGCCCCCCGGGGTCATTCCCTTAAAAATTTCAAATGACAAGGGTTGGCGAGTAATAGCTTGTTTGGAAGGTCTTTCGAAGTCCTTTATTTTGACGTTTGATTTTTTACAATCAGTAAATTAGAAAAATCTTTATTTATCTTAATGTGTTGCCCGTTAGGGTTTGCCAAATCTACAATTTGCTCATAATTTAAAACGGAACCTACCAACATAAACAGCAATTCGGAAGATTATAAGTGGCAACAACCAAATAAAAACCTGATCTTTTTTCCACATCCTTTTCATCAACACAGATATCCTGGGCGAACTATATTTATTGTTATATCTGTTAAGTTATTTGTTGATAAAGGTAAGAAATAATTCAATTTGCTGTCAGTTGCCTTGGGATAGTGAAAATTAATTTATTGATTCAAATTTTACTTCCAAAATGGTTTAGACACTAGGCGAAAGAGAAATGATTCTAATTTATAGTGCCCAAATTCAATGTGCTCGGCAAACTTCCAGACATCTGGAGAAGATAACTTCGCATAGGTATGTTTTGGACCTTGTTACTAAACTTACTCAAACTGGATCTTTTGCAAATAAAAAATGTGATCATCGGAGAGTTTTGGATGAAGCCGCTGCAGTTGAAGTTTTGGGTCATTTTAGAATAAAACCTAATACGTCACTACGCAAAATTGTTGCTGCGACTGGAATTTTATTAGGCTCTGTACACAAAGTAACTAAACTCTATAAATCTCATCCATTCAAAATGAAAATATTGCAAGAGTTAACCGAAGATGATTTCGATAGGCCAGTTGAGTTTCGTGAACTAATGCCTGCAGCGATTAATGATAGTACCATTCATGTAAAGAATAACTGCTTCAGTGATGAATGCACATTTTATCTAAATAGATTTGTTAGTAAGCATAACTGCATGTATTGCAGCAATGAAAATCCTCATGCTTTTGTAGAAGGGCATACCCAGTACCCCCAAAAAATTATTGTTTATTAATGGAAATTTGAATGGAGACATTTTTATTTGGATATGTTGGAAAATACCACCAAACCGCTTATCGTTGAAAACGAAATCGATGAGGATGGAAGTCCTATACTTGATGAGGTCGAAATATATTTCCAGCAAGACGGCGCCCCTCCTCACTATGTTCTTCCGGTTCGGCAATGGCTAGACGACGAGTTTATAGATAAATGGATAGGGCGAAGAGCGCCTATAGAATGATTTGACGCCATTAGACTTTTTCCTCTGGGGTCATTTGCAATCTATTGTGCTTACTTCCCAACCTGAAAGTTTGGATGAACTCCGTCAACGCATCATCGAAAGCTGCCATGATATCCCACATGTTTTTGAAAATGACCGTCAGGAATTTGAACATCTCCTATATCCTATATCATTGTTTGGCCAATAACGTTTTGAACACTTATTGAAATCAAAAGTGATATTTTCGTGTGTTTTTGTTTTCTATCTGAACAAATTAAGATAAAAAATATTTTTCTAATCTTCTTCAAACCGAATCGACCGAACGAAAAATCAAACGTCAAAATAAAGGATTTTGAAAGACCTTTTAAGTAAGCAATAACTCGATACCACTGTCATTTAAAATGTTTAAGGGAATGGCCCTGGAGGCAGAGGGTGAAAATGGGTGAAGTAATTTTAGGATAAAAAGTTGACAAATCTTTTGACGTGTCTCGGCGTTTTTTCTATTATTAATCATTGGTTTTTTTCGATAAATCCATGGTAGGAAGTTTGCAAATGAACACCTTGTATATGTACATCATGAAATATCATGTCCCTATTGTCCGTCGGTATGTCTGACGGTCTGTCTATCAGTCTGTTAGTCCGCTAATCCTTGGCCCGTTTTTAATTTGAGAAGTAATGCTTGAATTTAGATAAAATGTTCACACAAGATTGCTACTGTCCCAAGGACAAAATAGCTATCTTTTGAAAGTCGGTCCAGTGGCGGCGGAAAAGAAGACTAAAACCGAGAAATTAAAATCACTTAAACTTCGTTTCTTGTAGTTTCAGAGGGTCCTGATCACTTTTAGAGAATCTTTTGTAGAGGTTGACAATTTTGGTTGGGGGTTGTAGGGGGTGGGAGAGGGTATATGAAACTGTTTTGATCTCAGTATACTTATGTGCGCCAAACTCAGGTAATTATATGCACGTATTAGTCATTTGCCTTTAAATGTTTTCGATCCGTGTAATTCCGCTATCTGAACTCACCGCCCAGCAAACCGGTCCGGGTGACTAATCTATCCGTACTGCGGCGCAAAAACATATTATATACGGATCATGCGCGAAATGAACGATAACTGATGGACAGTAACTACCGAAAGGGCAGGGAAAGAATGTCTATGGACTAATTGTATTGACTGACTTAATACGTTTAATTTCTCTGTTGTAGGTATATGTTCGTAGCTAACTTTTCTCAGAGGATTTAAATAGCACTGAACTTACTCCCTTATGAACTAAAGACGCCATTCTCTAAGTTGGTAGTGGTTATAAAGTACTTCAAATTTAATACGCCTGCTGTGGTAAGGGTAGTGTAAGCTAAGCCCTGATTACATGGCCTTATTGTCTAAGGTATTAACTTTAAAATAGGTAGATAATAATTTCAATTCATTTTCGATACTTCATTTTTTCCAAGTTTTCACATAGACAGATCACTGTACGGCAGTTGCTACGCCCGTCTATCACGAAAAACCAAGTCACTCATTTCTGTAGGTCTGTCTCTAAGGATTTTTTAGCGAGTCCACGGTGTGACACAGTGCAGTACCGGGAGCAGACACTCAAATTTTCGCGAAGAACGGAAATACGAGAAGACGGATATGACGTCATCCAAATATCAAAAAATCATGTGGTACGGCTAACCGCCTAATACTGGTGAGGTACTAGCGAGTGTCAGGTCTTACATCAATGTCATTTAAAAAACAGACATCTCAATTGAAAATTTGTCTTCGCAGTGACGAAAATTAAGTGAATTATATTATTAAATCATAAATCAAGAAAATGGAGGAACAGGTCTACCTGATTTAAAATGACCAGGTAAAAGACTATGGTCATCGCAGATATAGGAACCGCACATGTCATATAAAACCGTAAATTTTATTGATATATGCTTTGCCCAAAAAAAGATTTTTTTTAATTTCAGATTCAAAGGAGGCAGATAAGATTATCAAAGAGCTTAAAGCAAAAATTTTGCACAATATGCGCCTACTAACCACTCCCGGTGTAACTTGAAACTGTCAAAACTTCGAGAAGAGAGGGAAATTCCATCTGTCCATTTACTACGGGATCTCGCGAATAAATATTTAGTGTCGATCTGTCCCAAAATCTTTGGACCCTCTATAACTTTAAAAGTTAAGTTAAATTTTGATGAAATGTTCACCCAAGAATAATGCTGTGTCAAGATCGAAAGAGCTTTGTAGGTTTTGTAAATCGATCCAGCTACGGACAAAAACGACAAAAAATGCTCAAATTCCGCTTTTTGAGCGATTAAGAGGCTCCTGCTCACTTTTAGAAAACGCTCTGAATACGTAATATTGCTTTTGCGTTCTTGCATCGGAATAAACTTGATGAAACGGAACACGAAAAAAATTATTCAGGATTCAGGGAAAACCATGGTGTAACAACGGCCAATATCACTTGTTCGGTTCTGCTAGGTTACACAAATGCTTTCGATATGATAGACCCTGAAATTTTGCTACTTATTATGTCTTACTATGGTTTTACTGACGCCGCAGTCAATTTGGTACACTGTTATTTGTCAAATAGAAATCAAAAAGACCTATCATCTTCAAAAATGTCGGAATCAACTGCTATAAAGTTTGATGTTCCTCAAGGTTCCATAGTGGGACCTTTACTTTTCTCTTTGTATAGGTATATCAGATTTCTATCAATGTCCACTATGCCAATGATACCCAAATTTATTTTAGTTTAAGATTTTAAAATTGCAGATGTATTAAACAACAATGATTTAACAAGGCTTATAGTCATCTCGTAGGCTCGCATAACCTAACAGTTTCTGACTGTTTGCCAACAGCTAATCCGCTGTTCGTACAGAATCTTCTGACAGATCAGAGGACACCAGTCAATCAGTGACAGTGACAGGTATCACAGTGTGTCGAAACTATCTTGAAGACTAAAATTACTTCGGAAGAGGTATTTAATGATCGATTGCTCTTCATTACTCTTCTCTAATGGACGGTCTGGGGACACCTTCGCACCGACGGGCCGTTGGCGATCTAACTACGCCAACGGGCTTTGCTCCTCAGAGCTCTCCTCCATGATGTCGCTGCGCAAAGTGCCTTACAGACAGACTCGCCTGTTTTTGACCTCCCACGGTAATCGTGTCGACCTTTGTACATCCAGAGCTGGCCGATAAGACCGCTCCTTTATCCCGAGGGTGGCGAGATCCTGGAACAATCTACATGAGGAGCTTTCTCCAGCTCTACTAACCTTAGGCAGTTCAAAAATTGGAATAAGGAAGTTTCTTCAAGCTCCTGATAGTAGCCACGGTGCCCTGGCATGTAAGCTCCACCTGCTCGGTTGCTTCAATGTAAAAAAACTGAGCGATATACCAAGAAGATGAAGACCTTGAAGTTCTTATGGAGGAGACAATGACACCCAAAAACCTGAATCTGGTCGAGGAAACAGTGCCACAATTCAATAGCAATTAGTTGTTGTAACATACAGGGTGCATTCCGTTTCGGACTCTCGAAGTAATCGGTCGATTTACGGG